GAACTAGAGACGGGAGCTCACTCCGTCATGCGGAACACTCGGGTCTCGAACTGCTGAACTACCGATCTTCCACAGCCTGCAGTTCAGCGTCTTAACCACTTGAGCCACCGCAGCTCCTCTCTTCTCCCTTAGCTTGTAGGAAATTGTTGGCATAATAAACTCAACAGCTTTCCCTGCATTCCAAATTACTCCTCAAGGTATAACTACTGGGGGCTCAATGAAGATTTAATTTCACTCTCAATCAGTGCAATCCTAAAAACACAGTAAGACCCACAGAACAGACCTGAGCAAGATTCCACGCTAACTCACTGGTGCATGATCTACCTCGAACATAGCCATGATTGCAACTTTCTATGTTTTCATGATTATAAATCGGGTGCTTCCTGTCCTCAGACTCAAATTTCATCATGTTCCATTAGGACAGAAATAAAATATGTATTCTTTTTCAACTGGATTATGTATTCTCCAGGAATAGATCAGATTGTTATCTTCTAAATTCTGGGAAAAGGGGGTCTGAGGAATGTTTGGTTTGGTTTAACTTGGTAGAGGTCTATGGATTTGCTTTTGGCACTGCAATGGTTTAGTTAAACAGAGTGCAGTTACAGCAATAATTACTTCCAGTGTACTAACATATAACAAGGACATTTTACTAATGCAGAAGCAAGTTATGCAACATATGTCTTCACATTAATGGTCGCATTTGTGATGGCGAAACAAAGTCTCTCTGCCCTACGAGATCAACACAAGGCAGGGATCTAGAACAAAACGAGCAAGAAGGTTACCTTCATCATGGTTCTGTAAGGCCTCTTCACATCCATGAGGTGGAGGTTTCCAATGAGTGGTAATGGGCGTGGTCCTGGTGGGAGATTTTTGCCACTGCTTTCCCAGAAATCACTCCTTTTCCAAACGAATGCAAGTGTGAGGGCAAGTAGGAGCAACACAGAAACAGGATCCATCCAATCCATTTCGTGGTAACAAGAAGTTGCTTGTAGAGGTTACAGGGAAGTTTGCAATGGATGCTGATCAAGGGCTGTTTCTGTCCCCTGAAGTGAGCTGCACAATTTTCTTTATATAGACCTGGCCCAGCATAAGCTCCCACCAATCATCCAACCCATGCCTTTTATAAGAAATATTCTCCAGTTTGCTGTGTGCATGTATAAAACCCCTGTGTTTGAATGGGTGGTGTCTAATTCATCAAATGGAAACATGACAGGACAGGTCTAAACTCTCTTGACTCCTTAATGAAAGTTCATCGCACCATATTATCTGGAAGGCTAAGCTAGTTAATTATCTACTGAGTCCAAAGAGTAGTGTTGCCAGTGAATAGTTGGGTTCATTACCGAACTTGTGGTTATTGAGAAGTTTCTGACAGTTGAACATGACTTTCTGAACTGTTTTCTAATTGAATACATGAAAAATATTTTGAAATAAATATAAAGCATTTGCTTCATTTCTACCTGTCTTTATATCTGAGATGGAAAGGGAGAGAGATGTGCATTTTTTGTAGTGCGACTTCAGTCACTGGAGTTGTGTGATGTGCACAAAAGTTTAAAAGAAGGGGGTTATTGTTGGTTCATTTTATCGTTAACATCCTATATCTTTGTTATTGATATTGCACATCCTTTTAAAAAATATCTATTAATTTATTCCAAATTGTTTCAAATTTGGCGGACCTATTTCTGGCTGCAATTCCCCTCCCCCATCCACCTGGGATAAAATTCTGAGTGACTGAATCCAAGGAGTCCTCCTGCCTCTCAAGTTGCAGACAAAGAGGAGAAAGCACCACCATTTTCACAACAGCACGCTTCACAGAGCCATTTGATTTCTGATACAGTCTAAGCAGAAAAAAGGAGAAACTTGAGGTACATTTGTGGTGAATGCAACATGACTGAAAAGACAGCAGAAGACTTCGACCGTTGTAACTCAGTCATGCTTGGCCAATTTTTGTGTAAAATATTCTTAGCTTTCACCAGGCACATTCTGTGTACATTATTCTGATATTACAAATTGCCATGTAGGAATTTTCAGGCTTTATAATGATGGAGCACTGAAACCTAGCGGTAATGATTTCCCCTCTATATTTTTAACCCATGCTATGTAACACCTGTAATGGCACCACTCTGTAATGCCCTGAAATGACCTGTATAATGTTCCCTACTTGACTTCCTTAGCGGTTCCTGATGACCTTTGCTTCTACCTTTAGACCTTTTGGTTTAACCCGAAAAACAGAATGGGTTAATTACCTTGGGTAGAATGACAGATCACCTGGGGATGGCTGTGAGGTAAAAGGGAATCCTTTATTCTAAATGCTGTTAGCTTAAGCAGAAATATAGTTTCTTAAGAAGTGTAAAACCTTAATTGTTTCAGTTTAGTTAAAACGTGTAATGGTTTCGTTAAATCTGCTAGTTTTCTGGTTTCAAGATAGGTACAGGACTTCTTTTTTAAAAGGTTTCCCTAAAGAGACCTAGTCACATAGCCAGAAAGGTTTACTTTTCCTAAGCTTTTTTAATTTTATTTTTGACACTCTCACATTAGAGCCGCAAAGAAATTCTCCTATCAAGAATGAATGGTCAGCTTATTAGAACTTAATTAGAGAGCCAGTTTGGTGTAGTGGTTAAGTGTGCTGACTCTAATCTGGGAGAACCGGGTTTGATTCCCCACTCCTCCACTTGCAGCTGCTGGATGACCTTGGGCAAGCCATAGTTCTGTCAGAGCAGTTCTCTCAAGGACAGTCCTCGAAAGAACTCTCTCAGCCCCACCTACCTCACAGGGTGTCTGTTGTGGGGAGGGGAAGGGAAAGGAGTTTGTAAGCCGCTCTGAGACTCCGAGTGAAGGGCGTGTTATAAATCCAATCTCCTCCTCCTCCTCCTCTTCTTCTTCATGGTGGGTGAGACTCCAGGAGGAGCCATCCCCCTTAAGATCAGGTATCATTCATGAGTACTTGACTCCGCACTCCCCAACATAGTAAGGGCAAACTCAGGCACCAACCACTCGCTGGGAGGGAGGACTGGGAGGACTTAGTACTGGGAACACTAAACGGATGGTTCTGCTCTCATTTGGACAACAGGTTTCACAAGGAGATGTTGGTGGACTGCTGTTTGGCCCTTAGAGTCTGGACTATGCGGGACCTAGTGGGATAGCTATTCTGTTTCCCATGCTATTCAATATTTACGTATTTATTTATTTACAGGTTCTCTGGTGATTTAGGCTGTGCCCAGCCTAAATGAGATGATCCCCAACTTTCTCCTGTTTAGTGGACGTCCTGAGCTGTTGTCTGAAATTGGTAAACAGTTGGCAATATAGTAGCCACATAAACCTACAGCGATCTTTTTTCTAGTATGATATAAAAGGAACGTAAGTAAGGCAAAGTCGTATACTGGCAAATTATTTTTTATTATGACTAACGTTGACAACTTTAATATGCACAGCGTTTGATAATCATAACGGCAGGTACGCAACTATTAACAAGGGTCATTAATCTGACTATGTTAGAAAGAGAAAGAGAGATATGGCCTCGAGGCTGGTTTGGTGTAGTGGTTAAGTGTGCGGACTCTAATCTGGGAGAACCGGGTTTGATTCCCCACTCCTCCACTTGCACCTGCTGATGTGACCTTGGGTCAGTCACAAGCTCTGGCACAGCTGTCCTTGAAAAAGGGCAGTTTGTGTCAGAGTTCTCTCAGCCCCACCCACCTCACAGGGTGTCTGTTGTGGGGAGGGGAAGGGAAAGGAGTTTGTAAGCCGCTCTGAGACTCCAAGTGAAGGGCGGGGTATAAATCCACTCTTCTCTTCTCTAAGCAACTGTGTGATTACAAGGCAAACAGATAAATGAATGTTCAGAATGTTTGTATCTTACTATTCTACTAAGCCAGTCTGGAGCTCTCTGGGAGGAAATCCTTCTGCCTGCAGAAACACCCCACAGGATCAAAGCCAGTACCTTTCATTTTCCGCATCTCTTTCTCAACCACAAAAATTGTTTCACCAAGAAGTCAGTTGCATTTGCTTCTTCAGTGAACAGTAGTCTTTGTTTTACATATCCTTCTCTGACTTGAGGCAGTGTAATTGCTCAAACAAACTCCAGAATTAGCAGAATGGGTCAGAAGACCGAGTGGCCTTACATGGTTCTGAAGCAGGTTTCATACCTCGTTTGTCTACATAGCTGGGAACATTGGAAGGATCTCACTTGGAAGGATATGATCTCTGTAGCTCACTTTGGTTGTTTTGGGGATTGAAAGACATCTGTAGTGTGTCAATACAAGATATCGGACACAGAAACGTTCTTGTTGTTTTCTCTATATAGCATCCAATTCAAGAAGTGAATTCCAAATTTTGAACTAAGGCAGGAAAATGTGGGGGGGGAAACATGGCTGTTAGCCCCGGGGCTAAAAACTGTGCGGTTGCTCGAGCAGACCTACCGATGGAGGTCCTGTGGTAGGGGGGAGGTGCCGATCACTCCACAGTCCTGTGGCGCGGCAAAGAAGCGGGGTGTGGGGCAAACGGGGTTGGTTTCTTTTTTTTAAACTCAAATGTGCGCATGCTCCCTTGGGTGCTTGTGCGCATCCGTGGGGACTGGAAAAAAAAACTTTTCCCGAGGGGACATGGGCGGGCGCCGGAACTATCACCGGGAACGCGATCAGATGCCCGCCCTTGCCCCGCAGTTTCAGGAAACTAGTACCTCCGAGTTACTAGTTTTTTACCGCGCATCTTCCGTGAGAAGCCTCAGGTTCGCCACAGGAGCTCGATGCTTCCCAGATGTGGCGGTGAGATCGCGCCAGGAAAATCCACCTATCTTCCATCCCTCTAGTGTGCCTAATGCTCCGTGTGACCGCAGCCTAAGTTATGTTTCTGATCTAGCTTGTAGGAGTTCCACAGATAGGTATATTAAACACGAAGGTTTGTGACAAGACACAGTTCAGGTCTGCTGAATCTGAAATGTCCTTATTAGGCAAAAAGGCGCCAAACAGGAGGACGGTGTGCAGAGGGAAGCAAAGCGTGGTTGGATGTTAAGAACGTGGCAAAGCACAGAAATTGAAGGGTATCGGATGCGTTATTATCCCAGCTGCAGGGGTCAGGTCCAGGTCTTCTTTAGACTTCCCGGGGGCTGGCTGGAAAGTGAATCTTTGCAGAAGAGTCGCGAAGAAGAGGAAGAGCTCCATTCTGGCCAGGGTCTCACCAGCACACACTCGCCGACCTGCGACAATGCAGATGGGATGGGGATGCCCTGTTTATTAAACCTGTTTATAAAGCTTTGTGCCATTTCCCCCATGGAATGATGGCCAAAGTAATTTACCATAAATAGAAAAAAATAGACATTAAGGCAGACTAAAGTACATAGCATCAGAATGGGGGAGAATGGTAACCTTGAAAGAATATTGGGGAAATGGCCACCTGGGACAGCATTCTTCTAAGTAAGTGGATTTGAGAGCATGAACTGTTAATTAAACTCACAGTGATAAATTTAAACTGAGTTACCTGCAGAGAAAGGCAGGAAGGCGTCTCTCTTGACAAACTTTCCTTCAGAATCAAGGAAGTGCTCCGGATAGAATTTAAGTGGTTTCTCCCACTCAGATTCATCGTACAGCACAGAGTACAGTAATGGAGCGATATATGTTCCCTGGAAAGGCAAAGTGATGAGTTATTGAAGAAAATGAAGATGGCCCATCAAGTACGTAGCTATCCTTCAGATATAAGAAAATGCCATCTTACAAACAGAGTTACGTGAGAATTCAACTGCAATGAAGGCAAAATAAAAAGTTGACTTGGATGAAGAGTGTTTTCAGAATTCGATTTTTTTTTACACAATCTAGGCAATAATGCTGCAAGGGTCAAGTTACATCAGATAAAGTAGTATCAAAATATATATTTACTAGGAATAAGGCCCGTTGTGGAAATAAATACGAGATCTAGAAAGAGGCTCTGGGAAAGTGCTCCGGCTTTGGGCAAACAGTGTCAATTTGCTGTGGTGACCTCAGCAGGGTATAATGACAGAGTCCACTATTTTCTCCAGAGGAACTGATCTTTGCTACCTGAAGAGCAGTTGTAATTTTGAGTGATCTCCAGCCATCACCTGGTGACTGGCAACAATTGTTACCCAGGATGAAATGGCTGCTTTGGAGGGTGGAGTCTATGGCATTCTACCTGTCTGAGGTCCCACCTCTCCTCAAACCCCACCCTCTCCAGGCTCCACCCCTCAAATCCCCAGGAATTTGCCAGCCTGGAGTTGGCAACCCCATCTCCTTCCCAGCTAACCATCAACCTACCATTATCTTTCCCTTTGACTTCAGCTGACTTCTGCCCTCCCTTCTGCAGAGCAGTTGTAATTCTGAGTGGTCTCCAGCCCTCACCTGGAGATTGGCAACAATGGTTCCCCATGAGGGACTGGCTAGTTTGGAGGGTGGAGTCTATGGCATTGTACCTGCCTGAGGTCCCACCCCTCCTCAAACCTCACCCTCTTCAGGCTCCATCCCTCAAATCTCCAGGATTTTCCCATCTGGAGTTGGCAACCCTATCAGGACTGGGCCCAATGTGTTTTCTCCCAAAGGCCAAAATAGGTGACAGGACCAATCTTAGTTGCCTACCAACAGGCACTGAGGGGAAAGTAGGGTTGCCAGCTCTAAGGAGGGAAATACCTGGAGATTTGGGGGGTGGATTTTGTGGAGGGCAGCATTGGGGGGGCCGCGGAAGGACTCAGCAGGTATAATGTCATAGGGTCTACCCTCCAAAGCAGCCATTTTCTCCAGGGGAACTGATCTCTGTCATCTGGAGATCAATTGTAACAGCAGGAGATCTCCAGGTCCCACCTGGAGATTGGCAACCCTAGGGAAATGTCAGCTGCACAGCAGGGGGTTGAAGAGAATGGTTTGATGGCTGCTGGGCCAAGATTGACAGCAATAGTTACCCAGAAGCAAATGGCTG